CCTTTGTGTTTAAATTTTTTTAAAAAAAAAACCCCCCCCCCCCCCCCCCCCCCCAGGATTTCATGTCACTCACTACATACTACAGTGATACCCCATGTCTAATGAGGTCTCGCAAGAGCTCAATTTTCTAGCAAGAGGAGAACTTTGCTATCCAATGGAGCCACAACTCACCCAGGCTACAATGCTCAAGTCTACGCCGGCCTGGGATGTTTCCCCTTAGGGTCATCCGCATCCCTCCTGCGCCTAGCCAGTTTCTCGCGCTGTCTTTCCTCCATCCGCTTCGTCATGACCAGCTGCAAGCTCACCGGCAAATCATCCAGCCCTTCATCCCCTCCACGACCACCACGATCACCACTACCACGATCCGCAGCACTATCGCCGCCACCACCGCGGCCGCCGCCTTCCCAGACGCTATTCGACCGGCGTCTCAATCCAACCCCGTCGCCCATGCCCGCACCCGTGCCGGTAGCGACGCTGTTGGACCGCATCCTGCCGAACGTGAAGGCCCGCATCCTGTACGCAAAGCTGCCGCTCCGACTTCTAACCTTCTGTGCTTCTTGGTCCCCAGCTTCCGCGGAAGCTGCTGGGGTCGCGTTTCGGTTCTTCTCTCGCTCCTTGATCTTCCTAACGTACTCGTGGAACTTGGGGCGCTCCAACATTCCGCTACGGAATGCATTGACTCCTACCAGCAACTTGGCGAGATCCACGAGCTCTTCCAAATATTCGATAATTTCCACTATGGCAAATGGTCAGTATGGGATTTGTATTTGGGGCAGGCAGTGTAGGCATTAATTGGGAACAGGCAGGGAATGGCAAGGACAATTCCGAAGGATCACTTACTATTACCGGCAGAGCTGGCGTTCCAGGCTAGGAAGCTTTGGCGAGTCATGGATTTTAAGACGTGCGCCTGGGAAGGGATAGATCCATTGGCTAGACTGGCTGGGGTTTGGGTACCGGAGTCATAAGCGGATCTGATATCGCGTTCGAGTAGGAGTTCTCGAACTCTGGCGATGTATCGCAAATGTGCCACACGGCTAGATGGAAGGAATTGTGGGAGAGGTAGCCGGGTCGTTAGGGCTTCATGAACCGCGAAGAGAGTGAGCATTATACTGGCCGCTACATTACGACGGTAAGGCAGCACCTCTGTATTTAGCTCCTCGAGCACGCCGCTCCCGTAGGCTTGTCGTATATGCAACATATTGTCCATGCGATCAATTATCTGAAACAAAACATAGATCATCTCTCCGTAAACTAACGATTGCCCTTTAAAACTGCCTTTAATTCTTGGCTCCGTCAGACAAAATGGTAAGAAAGTGCGGGCCGCATCAAGAGCCTGTTCGGCATTTTCCTTGGCATCCTTGAAGTTCTCGTTGAGCGCGCTGGATCTGATATTAACATTTCGGGGTGAATCGATACCCACTGCCATCGACGCTTCCATCTGCGAGATTTGCTGAATGCTCGACGCTAGAGACTCGACAAGCCTGTCTCGAGCTCGAACGGGGAAAAAGAACATTGAGAAGAGGAGCGCAATCGTCCCACCGACGAGGAAGCATACCATTCGCTTAACGAATATCTCCCATCTATAATCTTCCACGGGGTGAAATATTGTTGCTAATAAACACACATTAGGATTCTCGCCTGGTCAGAACGTACCGCCGACAGAGTGACTTACCAAGCCCGACCACTGACATACTAACCATAGCAATTATACCTGTTTTGACATACGGTGTACCGAGATGAATGTAAGATGAGGGTATAATGCCAAATACAAGAACGACCACGGCAACAACTCGGTTTCCTCGCCCAATCACGTAAGCGAGGAAACCGACGACACAGCCAAAGATAACTCCAAAAACTCTAAGAAAGAAGCCTTGAAATGACGTCCCCACTGAGACTTCAAAGACGAGAACTAGTTGAAGAGATGCCCAAGTCCCACGGACAGAATTATACCATGCTATTGAATTGTATGTTAGCTATTGTTCCACTAGGTTTGGAAATGACATAATTACCATTCAACGATGGCACAAATGCCGGCCATGTAACGGTATATGCCGCTACACACATTCTAAGGGCGAAGGCCAAATCGTCGGACTGGGCAAAAAACTCGACTATATCAGCAGCCAGGCCACGCAACCACATGACCCTACTAGTTTCAGACCTCTGAGGACGTTTTCGGGTCTGTATATTGCCTTTCTCGGAGATAGGAGGTTGCTTCGAAACGGTGTGACCTGTTTCTTCATCTTCAGTACGTCTGAGTAATTGTTCTTCACTGTCATCCGTATCGTCATCGCGTCTTTCGGTATCTTCCTTAATACCATGGCCAGTTCTCGCCTCCTTCCTCGCATTTTCTGGAAGAGCATTTATGTCATCCTCGCCACCACTTGTAAGCCATTTCTTCCAAGATATTTTGGGCCAGTAGAGCCGTCGGCGGTCGCGCCGGGCTTGCCTCTTCTCGACAAGAGCCCTAGAATACCTCAATATCTCGCTGATCTGGGTAGCTGCATGCCGTACGCAAATTAGGAATGTCGAGATTAAGTGGGTTTCCATCTTCGGCGTAATATCATTCTATACGCATAGGTTAGTTCATATAAAATAAGACAGCTACTACATAGAAAGCAAGATTCGTTTCCGCTCAATATAAAAGCAAGTGCTGAAAAAAATAAGAAATCATCGTTGGACATACCCGTAATTTTAGGCCGTACTGTATGGATGCAGCCTGCTCAAGAGCGGCAGCGGAATCACGGTCAAACTGTGTCAAAGCCTCCGCAAACATGTTGATTCTAAGATCGATTTCTTCCATACTAATACCGTTTGGTGCCGGGGCACCGGATGGAAGGTTCGGCACGTCGTAGCAATAGGCTAATGCACAAATTATAACATGAAGTGCGGCCTGTGTTTGTTGTTGGAGGCTTTTGGTTGGGCCGCGAATCTGGCTAAGAATGTGCTCAAGGAATCCAATGTCGCCTGACTCTATTTCTCTCATCGGCTTAACAAGCTCAAGTTTCCGGGCGTATTTGAATTTCCTTTGTGACTTTTTAGTTCCTCGTCCTGATTTGTCGTCGCTACTGTCGCTTTCGGACTCGCTGTCAGAGTCCGAGTCGGATTCTGATTCGGAGTCTTCGTCGTCCGTTGAGCTTTCGTCCGATGTATCCTGCTCATTCTGTTCGTCCTTATATCCTGCTAGCGCGTACTTGCTCTCACAGGCATTAATAAGACAGATAGTTACTTGGACAAGGCGTGACATCAGAGTCGTGCTGATGGGCTTCAAAGAGCGCGGGGGTAGGACCGAGTACACAAGCTCGAAATTGCACTCTGCTTGAGCTTTCTTAGAACTGCCGAGCTGAGCCCTTAATTTTGCTTTCTTCTCGGTCAAGGCTACGAGCCTGGAACGCAAGTTCGTTGAAAGTTCCTTTTCTTTCTCGGCATCCCCGCCACCTGACTTCCTAGTATCGCACATAAACCAATCCCCAGCTTCTTGGAAAGAATCGATGGTGGCGCATAAGGATTCTATCGTAGATCTACCTAGAAATCCACTTGAGAATTCGGGAAAGATGGTGATATTTATGAGAATAATAACCCCAACTGCCGTAAGAATGGGGTACCCAATTTGCTTAACAATCCTAGCTGATACGGATGTGGAAGCACTTGTTAAGATGGTTATGTTAATGAGCAGGAAGAAGAACACGAATACGAATAACCTCGGTGCCCAAGAACGTAGAACACCATGAAAAATCAATGCCAAGGTGAAGAAGATAGCCCTGATAGCCCAAGCTGCTTGAATATTGGTATGATAAACAAGACTAGAGAGATATAAGCCAAGGATGCCCCATGCGATGCCGACGAAGGTTCCGAGCACGATGAGCATCAAGGCTTCGGTCAACTGGCCGAACCGTCGCCCAGGGTGTCCGAATACCGAAGCCATAGCCCCAAGATATGTCGACTGGCCGTATACAGCGATGACCGCCGGAATGAGCCCAATGATCAGATTGATGGTGGTACATATGGTATTCTTGACGATTCTCTTCCAGAGATTGTTCTTCTGGAGATTTGATTTGACAGTGTCCTTCCATTGCTGCAGTTGCCTTTGAAGCATCTTGTTCCAAAGCTGGATTGTTGCCATGGCTCCTGCGATGATTCTAAGACGAAGCCCACCCGTAGAGGATATTTGGATCTAGACATGGTAATGAACCTAGAGCTGAGGCGTATGCTAAAAGACGTAAATCGCAGGTTTTGTTAAGTGGTACAGATATACCGGTGTCAACACGAGATCCTTCTAGCATCAGTCAAATTGGAGTTATGGAAGGTAATGGTTGTCCGCCCCCCACTGTACCCCAATTACCTTAGTTGGCTTGGCACTTTAAGAATGATATCATCCCGAAGCAAGCGAAAAGCGTCCGATCTTGGTTATCGCGGGTGGCATGTGTTACAGTTGCACTTGCAGGGATAGCTTAGCTCTATTACCTGTTAGGTTAAGTACCTAGGTACCTTAGGTATGCACCTTACTAAGGCGCGTACACAAGTACAGTGACCAAAGTACTCAGCATTATCGCGGGGTTCGCGAATGCGAACACAGATACCTAACCTAAATCAAATAACAAATCCAAAGTCGCTTGTGCTGAGCAGTGAAATGTTTAGCGTCAACTTCTAACAACTACCTACCTAGGTACCTAGTCTTCAGTAATATAAATCATATCAACTTTTCGGAGTTCACGAGCTTTCGGGCTGTGTCTACCGTCAAAATGGCTCCATCGGCGAATCTAACTGTAAGGCTGCTCTTGTATTGCATAATCCCTTACCTTTACCTTTACCCCGGAAAGTCGTCCGTCTATAACATATGGGCAGTTACAGCTAATAAAACAACTTGAATCTGTAGACAAAGCTAAAGGTCCAGCTAAAACTATCCATTGCACGATTGCGCATGGTGCAGCAGCGTGATGAAGCCATGGGAAAGACGCAAAGGAGGGCAATGGCCCAGTTGCTGGAGGTCGGTAAGATTGATTCAGCCAAGATTAGAGTTGAGAATATTATTCGATCCGATATCACTACGGAACTCCACGAAATCCTCGAGCTGTATTGTGAGTTATTGCTAGCGCGAGCTGGCCTTTTAGAGGGTAGCGTATGCGATCCTGGATTGGAAGAAGCAGTGAAAAGCATCATATACGCTGCTCCTAAGACGGAGATCAAAGAACTGCAGCAAGTACGCATACTTTTAGCGGAGAAGTACGGCAAGGAGTTCGTGCTGTCCGCCATGGAAAACTCGGACAAGAAAGTCTCCGAGAAGGTCATCAAGAAACTCAGTGTCACCCCACCTCGAGAAGAGCTTGTCCAGGGTTATCTGGAAGAGATCGCGCGAGCATATGGAGTCAACTGGCCGAGGCGAGCTAAGGATCTAGGGGATCCTCCCGAATTCGTGGACGACGACACAAATGATAATCCAAGTGGCGGGCAAGCGCAGAAGAGTTCAGAAGCAGCTCTGCCTACTGACGACAAATCTGCGCAAGAGAGGGAAGCGCTTAGCCGCGAAACTCCCCCTCGAACCCTAGGTCTGGATTCTCCGGTACATATTAATCCACCAAGTCCATCCTCGGATAACCCTCGCCCGAGAATTACGTTGAACTCAGTAGAACTGAAACCCAGTCAGAAGATGGTTGATGCTGGAATGTCGAAGAGCAACGATAGTAAGAAGGATAGGACGAGCGTTGATGAATTAACAGCTCGCTTTGCTGCTCTGAAGCGTTGATAATGCCTCCATATCAGGTCCTAGAGAATTTGAAACCCTTATAAGATGACTTCATCGGCGATCAAGCTACCCCGTTCTCTCTAATTCTATCTTCCGGCTCATCTTATATATATAACCTACCTCCTTATAGCTCTTTAGGTACTTATATGAGATATATTTATCTTGAATAAATTTGTTAAGTGAATAAGTGCTGTGTCTAAATACCTTAACTTTAAAGGTGTAGCTGCAGGTATTTACATGAAGCCACTGGTAATGTTAGGATATTAGGTACCTAGGTAGGTATCAGTCATGTGAGAAATGTAACAAGTGGCCAAGTTGTGCAAGAACTTAGGTGGTTTGGTATCTGCACATATCTAACCTACGTTATGTGTAAGCAGGTAGGCACCTTTATTGCGCACCTCCTACATGTATCTAATATACCTTGAGTAAGTATGTAAGGTACATAGGTAGGCTATGTGCTATGTAATGCATGCAATGCATGCTGTATGTGTGGAGTACCTGCTATAACTTCCCAGACAGCTATCTGGGTAGTTACACAGGACATGCAGGTCGAACACTGTTCCTTCTTCTTCTTCATTTATACAGAAGCGACCTAGGTAAGTAATTTCCAATATACCTAATGTATAACTTGATCAGATCGGGTACATAGTTCCAGTATGTGTACCTAAGTAGGTAAGTATGCAGCTGCCTTTCCTTGCACTTTACAATCTGCACTTTTCACTCTTCACTCACATCCTGCTTTCTCATCCAGTCCTATGATATTTTATTTCTATTTCCTAACTCATGTCCATGTTAACCTCCTCACTAAAAATAACAGGAGTCGTTATTTCGATGTTAGGACGTTCTTTTTACCATTTACATATCGAGTCCCGCGCCCTGAGTGCGTGAGAGTAACGGTTAACAGAAACTACACATTTTTGTAACCTGTTTTCCTTTCAGAATACAACCACTGATAACGTCCAGCTGATCAGTATCCCATGCAGCACGTTGTCTTTATATCTTTCCTCTACCCGTGGTCTTCATTACAAAGATCACCATGGATCTTCATCATAGCTTGCAAGTTTTAGGTATAGATGACCTAGCTGATATCACCCTGGACGAACTCGAGGATAAAATTCAACATGCAAGTCCTAATAAGATACCCAAACAGAACGTTCTCCAAGCATTCATGGGATGGCTCCACGAACGGATCAAGAAGGATATTCAACAGAAGTCTTTGCTGTTGGAATTTGCCAACCTTCTTTTAAAAACCGGGAAGCTGCAACAAGGGCCGTTCACAGAGAATGAAATCGAAGAGGCCCTCAAAGAATGGCAAGTTAAGGATGCTGCAGATAATCCTGAAAATATACGTAGGTATCAGATGGTACAGCTAGATCTCCATGGGCTATTTGAGCAGTATAGACATAGCTCTAAGACGAAGAAGCATTCACCTACGGGATCATCATCGACTTTTGGTCGGGATATCAGACACTCGCTTGCCCATATTAACGAACCAATTGACTCTCAAGCTAAAGCTAAAAATAAAATAAGAGAGCCTACAGTTTCCTGGGTAGTTGGCGGAGGAAAGAAGAAGACAGGCGCCAACGATCTTCCCTTAGGTCGGAAGGCAGGTACACATGCCAACATCTATAACGAGATCGTCAAAATCAAGGAAGATAACAAAAAGAAGAACTCGACCAAGGCCAATAAAGCGCCACCTATGGAACAGACAGCAAAGCTGGGCTTAAAGGACGCAAGTTTAAGAGAGCTTAGCCCAGCGATTACCTACAAATCCATCTTATTAGACTATTCTTCGTCAAACATGCCTTCCTATCTAACCACGTCTCCTCCTCATGGGTATATATGCAAACGTTGCGAGCAGCCAGGTAATGAGGTGCTTTAGAGAAGGAACGTGGTTTTCTCTGCTAACGTTGGTTGTAGGACACTGGATCCAACTTTGCCCTACTAATTTGGACCCGGAATGGGATCAAGCACCTCCGTATTATTATCGATGTGAAATCTGCAAAGTATCTGGCAAGCATTTTGCAACACTATGTCCTCAAAACGAGTACGAGCTCTCTTTAACACAGCAGCGTCTCCGCATTAAGATTCCACCAAAGATGCCTACACGAGATAAACGCTCCCACTATCGAGACCGTTCTCCCTTCACACCATCACCCCAAAGCCGCCCCCGAAGCCCTACCTACCTCCCTTTGAGACGTAAAAAGCGTAATGTTTACAGACGAGACGAGACCCCGGAGGATCGGACCCGTAGCTTAGGTGACCGATATCAATCGCCCAACGATCGCAGAAGTGTTTCACCTTGGTCAACACGTGAGCGGATGACTCAAGAAACATACCGTAGAGAAGACTCTCCTCATGAACACTCTTCGGGCAATTACCGTTTAAGGAAGCGTTCGGTCACCCCCCCTCGCAATCACCGAAAGCGAACCAAAGCCCCTCCTCCTGAAGAACGTTCACGTCCGTTCTTGGATTTACATAAGACTAAAAGGGGCGCGGAAGAAGGAAGGCTGGGTTATGATAACGATGAGTTTATGGGCTCGCATATTTCTCCAGCGATGCCAAAAGATAACATTCTTCCCAAGGATCTCTTCCAAGGCACAATCGAAAGCAAGAATGAACTAATGGCAGACGCTGCACCGCTGCCTGAAGACACTGCTGAAGATATCGAGAGAGCTAGGAAAGAAGCAAACGAGTTTCTCGATGCTCTAACAAATGAAATTTCCTTAGACGATACGCAAGTCTCACCTCCCGCAAACGATACGTCTACCGACGAGTATTCATATCAATTAGACAAGATAGATACTGACAGCAGCAAGGAGGGGGATGATTTTGATGAAGACAGTCTTACATTAGCGGAGATCGCAGACCAGCGCCTATTCCAGGGTCCACACTTTGGATCTGAAGTGACATCCCTTTTCAGAGGCCGGACGATTCCGATAGTTCACAGCAAAGCAAACAGGAAGACTGCCAAAGAGATGATCGAAGAAGCCTGGAAGCCCACCTGGGCCTAACATTCCACGGCGTAAACCACGGAAAGAAGATTATTTCAAGATTCGATCCTCGTTTCACGTTTCACCACTACATCGATGGACACCACGGGTATCTATAGTCTAAATGGGACGATAGAATGGTAAAAGCCAAATATGATGGGGGCTTGAGTTTTATTTCTTCTCGTGTTTGCAGCATTTTCTAAATATCGATTATGCGTTGCTTTGTGAGCATCAATCACTGGAATCATTTTAGTTTCCTTGCGTATCTCCTGCTTGATACGAGTATTTCTAGAAGGCCTAAATACCTAGAAAGACAGATGTTTATGTATTGTACAGAAAGTTACTGGTCTGTGCTCAATTTACGCTTTCGGTTTCCATGCCCGTCAGAGTCAGCGGAGATGGTTCATAGTCGTATTACAACCATCCTCAGTACTTAGATGAGTTGGACGAGGAGCTGCCCCCAAGTACCACCAGTATAACTTGTAGGCAGATTTAGGTACCTAGTTTAGTTAAATCAACGCCGTTATATTGACAAGATGCTGGGGTTGTCCAGACGTTGGTAGGATCTTGAGTTGTGCTACGCAGGAAGGAACACGAGGAATGGCGCATGGTCCAGAAGAAGGCAACGCCTAAAATTGATGATATATCTGCTTGCTTGCGAAACTTTGACCTTATGCCCAATTCCAAATTTGCCAGAACGCCGTACGCCTCTACCTGGAAGGGTAAGTATTCGCAAGCTCGGCCTAGACTTAGGTCTAGGTACCTATACACAAGAGTTCCCTCCACGTCCGTAGTTATCGTAGGTATTTTTGCGAATAGGTTTCCTCCAGGAGACCTTTTTTGTTTCGCACATTCTTTCTTTCTTTCCTTCTCCCATGTCATATATATATATCGTACCCTCGCCGCGTCGGAGAGCTACTACTCGAGCTTATCGAGGTGTTCGAGGCGGGTGAGGACGACCTGCTTGCTAGTCTCCTCGATCTCGCCGGCGAGGAAGACCTCGTCGAGGATGGCGTAGACCTTGTAGAAGTTGAAGACGAGGTCGAGCTCGCAGACGTTGCCGAAGAAGGCGTCGAGGACCTCGACGAAGAAGTGGATGGCCTCGAGGTACGCGAGCTCGTTGTCGTTGGTGTCCACGCACGCGCAGAAGAACAGCCCCGCGTACCGCCGGTACACGATCTTGTAGTTGCGGAACTCCACGAAGTTCGACTGGTACTTCTGGTCCCGCGGCGCTACCAGCCGGTGCACCTCCCCCTTGAGCTTGATCTTCTCCTCGTCGCTGTACGGCACGTACCATTTCGCGAGCCGCGTCTTGCCTCTGTTAAAGTGGGAGAGTTGGGGGTTTTGGTTAATATAATGCGCAATTGGCAAGCTGTTTTTGGAGGGAGGGAGGAATTGCTTACTGCCGGTTCTGTATTAATATGAAGGACAACATATTTGCGGGAGGGGGCCTGCGAGGAAGCGACGCGATTTATCGCGATCCGAGTGGTGAAAACGGTGGACGTTTCGATGGGATGGAATTGTTCTAGGTGAAGTTCTCCAGGGGGTTCGTTTAGCGGTGGGGACCTTGGAGTTTAGCGGACGTTTAAGAGGGACCTCACGCTTAGATGCAGGTACCTAAACTAGGATGTACCTAACCTGCAGGTGTGGCTTGTTCAAGTCTCGTGCGACCCCTGGGATTTACTACATTAGGTACCTACCTTAGGTACCTCCTACACAGGAAATATCCCCTTTACATTACCTTGTACCTCTCTCAAATAGGTACCTAGATCACCTGGCTATGAGGTATACCTTCATGAATATTATTTCAATTATATTACAATTTAGAAAATATAAAGTGCTTATACGAAGGTCCGGGCCAAAAGTCTTGCATATCGTAGCTTAGGTAAGCTACCCACTTAGGTATGTGTCAATAAAAAAGGCTGTACGGTGTCAGATCTACTAATAGCAGCTAGCTCCCCTGTAGCTATAGTGGTAAGCTCCCTAGAATTTAGCGTACGAACCACTATCCGCCCCCCAAACTTACTAAGCCAATACAGTGCTATTATAATTGTGTACGTTATGTTCCCGCGACTAAAATCTTGGCATGTGCAAGACTTTTGGCCCGGACCTTCGTACACCCATATTAATACAAACTCACATTCTATCAGGTAGGTAATAACATAACCACTTAGATATCGAACTTCTCACCCACCAAATCCTCACTCAACTTCCACAACTTCTCCGCGAGCTCCGGGTCCGTAGCCCAGTCCCTAACAGCCTTAGGATCGGTCGTCAGTTTCGTGTCCTGCAGGAAGACGCCCTCCTCCTCGACCAGATCGGGATCCAAAGCCGCGCGGAGCGTAGTCGAGCAGCCCTGCTGCAACGTCTTGTGCGGGTCGGCTGCTCTGTACTCCGCAAGCGTCTTCCCCGCGACCTTCTGCGCCGCCTCGTCCATGAGCGCCGCCAGACGCGCGCCGTCCATCTGCTTGACGTAGTGCTGCAAGTTCGTCAGGATGCTGCCGGGGTGCACGGCGTAGGCGCGCACGCCGCGCGCCGCGAGCCGCTTGTTCAGGGCCACCGCGTACAGGATGTTGGCGCTCTTGGACTGTCCGTAAGACGTGAACTCGCTGTACGAGCCCGGCTCCGTGAAGTTCGGGTCCTCGAACCGCACGCCCGCGTACCTGTGCCCGGAACTCGAGAGGTTGACTATGCGCGCGCCGGGGCCGGCGGCCACGACCTTGGGTGCGATCTTGTTGGTCAGGATGAAATGACCCAGGTGGTTGGCGTGAAGCTGCAGCTCTATCTTGTCTTCCGTCAGCTCGAAGGGGGTTGCCATCACGGCTGCGTTGTTGATCACGACGTCGATCTTGGCGATCTCAGGGTCGTCGAGGATGGTCTGCGCTGCCTTCCGGACGCTCTTGATTGAGGAGAGGTCGGCTTGGACGAACTTGGTCTTCACGCTAGGATTGACATTTTTGATGGAGTCAATGACAGTCTGTACCTTCTCCGGAGAGCGCCCGACTAGAATCAGCAGAGCGGGAGACTCTGCAGCAAGCGAAATAACTGTTTCAGCACCAATGCCGCCCGGGCTCGGTCCGGTCAGGAGGACTAGATAATGTTAGCGCATTGCATTCCTGTGAAGGCAAGGACGCATACTTACAAGTTCTCCCCTTCACCTCGTCGGCAAATTGGTGTACAAGCGCAAGGCCTTCGGTGTTTCTGTCGTAAGTAGACATTATTACCAGTACTTTTTTATTGCTGATAACTTTGAGTTGGTCCGGTAAGTTTTTTTTTTTTTTTTCGTTTTTCTCCCTTTGGGGATTGAATAGGATTATGCGGATTTATGGTAGATTTAACCCTTTGTCTCAAAGACTTCTACTGGAACGAACCCTAAGGAATTTTGCTTCATTTTTGAGCTTTTATATACTTGCCTTCTGGATCGACATGAGGCTATTTCCGTGGCTCCCGCTGCAACTGTAGACTATTTCCCGCGCTAAACGGTCTTAAATACGATAACCCCGGGGAAGGCCTCATCTTCTAAATATACGAAATCTGTAGAAGGCCTCCGAAGATGATACATTGAACCCTCCGAGCGTCCGACTCGTGTTACTGCTCAATGGGTGCTACGACGAATGCAAAGTGAAAGACTATGCTAGCGTCATTCAAAATCAGCATCAAATCCAAGTTAGGTGTTTGACTAAGAAAAAAGACTCGGCTGCAATATGTTAACTCCAAACTCCGGGGTTTCGCATATGGTAAACCGTACACATAAACTCAAGTAGACGTAAACTGCAATTGCCATATATTCAACTAATAAGTAACTTTTAGGCATACTGTGTAGTATGTGCGATGGTGTATATCTGGGCTCATCCGGAGGCTGAATGCCTCAAGTTTTGGATCTAGGACTTGATCTGATTGGCTTAAAAAACTTAAGGCATTTTGTCAGCCCTTGGGGTGACCTCCAGTGATTAAAGACTGCCAGTAAAAGAATTGGCTTTGGACAAAAGACATAGGTACACACATCCGTTATATACATGCGTGGCATTACATGGCTTAACCCTGCTAAGTACAGAGATACTCCATAATTTGTGCCGCCATAGGTATATTGTACAAATTGTACCTACAGTATGTAAAGTTACCTAGGATTGAACCTTGAATGGCCCAGACGCGAAGTGTAAAGCCACAATCAGATCTAAGCTTGCCAAGTTCGTTCTAAGCTCCCAATTGGCCCAAAACGGTTTTGTTATTTCAAGATTCAAGATTCAAGACCCAAGATCCTACATAGTATGTAAATACATGTAGGTAGTAAGAACTCAAGTCTACTATAACTAGTTTTCACGAGACGACATATGTAAGAGCCTTTTCTAAGCTTGCAGATTAACGCTCTCTTTACGGTTATTACATTGATCATTGTTATTCAAAGGTATCACGCGAGCTGTCCTAAGCATTAACGCCGCCCTGATGAGATAGCCTGTCATCCATCCAGGCTTGGTTATCTTTCGTTGACTTATACGACGACTCACAGGACAGCTATACAAGTACAATAATTACAAGAGCTCCCATCAAAATCTTTTAACAACTAGGCCGTTACTAAATTTACGCTCCCTTCCATATTCTGTTGAGTCCCTGAGGTTCTTTTTTTTGAAAAAAAAAATTTACGAAAACTATTCTCCTTCGCTCGGCCAACTCGATCGATCCCAGTTTTTCTCTTTTCTATTAATGCATTGGACTTTTTCTTTGCCTTTTCAGTAATACTCAGTCTTTCTCAGGTCCTCTCTTCTACCATGATGGAGGCCGCTCCCACCCCCACCGCCATGGCTTCTGAAGATAATCTCACCATCTTCCGCACGCTGAAAAGTGATGGAGTACCAATCCCAGAAGACAGGCTGGTACAATACCCAAAAGCAGCCCAAGGTTCCGTCGATAATTGGCTACAAAAGCTTGGAGACATGCTAGGTTCTCAGCTCTTTCCCGGATCAAGTTCGTCAACTCCGCGGGATAAAGTGAACAAAGTAAACTAACATCTACCAGGTAATAAATTCATCTTGGACGCGTTTCCTGATAACTATCAACTCCGTATGAAATTTCGAGATAGTATGCCAATCCAACCCTATATTATATTATGTTTACTTAGGTTAGGTACTTACAGAGACAAATTTCCAGGTAAAAGTTCTTCCGACGCAGTCTCTTCAGATATAGCCGCAGACAAACCCTCTTCGGCCAAAACTAAACCATTATTCGACTGCTACCTATTCGGGTATCCTGACCTTGGGAAAAGTCGAACTAAGTCCCCTGCACTCAAGCAGTATAGAAGCACGGCTGAGTTTTTTGACCACTTATTGTGGTTGGTGACTGACGCTGAGGACCGGAGCAAGTGCACCTGCAAGCACTGCAAGGCGTATAATGCTTTGCAAGCTAAACCGCCAAGCTCGAAGCTACAAGCTCCAGCCAGACTTGGCACTGGCGTGAAGGCTTCCGGGGCTCTTGGTAACAACTCACCGGCGCAATCCGCACCAACATCTGCCGCGTCCAGCCCCGCGCCCAGCGTTTCCTCTGGCACAACGGCTCAAAGAGTAGCCTCAGCCGCACTGACAACGCAAGTAGCGGCAAGTTATACCCCGGTAGCCGTTCAACATGATGAAGCACGTGTGTTCAAGAATGGGGAGCTGGTTTGGTACATCGTCTATCCCTCTTTTCGCTTGGGGCTTATCGTACAATGTCCGTCCGACAACCCGGCTACATCGACTCCACGCATGTATAAGATAAAACCGCTTTCATATTCGCTCCGGCCCCTCGCAGATGTTACACAACCCGAGGCAGACATGCGGCCATTCTTAGCCTATAGTGTACCTGCTTCTCATCCAATCCTTGATAAGTTCGCCGACCACCCTATGGAAGCGATCCCGTGGGATGCGCTAGAGGCCCAGGTCGGTAAAGCGGATGGTGCACTGATCGTTGAAGCTTCTAAAGTAGGCGCAAGTCGTGTTGACCACTCGTATTCTTTATTCAATGCGGTCCCTGACCCTACTCTGCAGCCCAACCAGAAGAGATACAATGGTGTCTTCCTTGGTTGTGAGCAGATTCGCACTTCCGAGACCGTTCGACCACGCCTCGAGCCGGGTGAACATCCAGAGTGGGACAATCCAGAGTTGACCTTCGCCATGGTAGTTAGGAAAATACTACTGGAGACGACTGAAAAGGGAGAGGAGCTTTTCTTCTACGGCGATCTCTGGCTCTTACAGGAGACGGACTCGCCGGCCCACGGGGAGTCGCTCAAGTACGTCACCCAGGCGATGGTCAGAGAGAAAATGTTCAGAGATCAGGTCAAAAACTCTCCAGATACACATTTCGAATGGGTACTCGTACAGAATCCTATCAAGAAATCCGAGGCATACATCCGAGGACGATTCTACGAATCCGAGAAGCTGGGCCCGCTGCTGGACCCGAACTGGAATGCGACCATCCAGCAAGGACACTTCATGCCTACTCATCACAAGTCCCTGAATAACCGTGGCGATTCGAAGGGCTTCAACGTCGGTCGGAAGGAGTCACGTTCAGCTACCTTCGCCGGCATCTTTCCTCCTGGTACCGTCCCATCGTTTGGACCCGATGTCGTGGAGTCGCCTGAAAACGCTTATCTTACTCATTGATGAGGCGGGGTTTTATTGCAGCAATCTTTTCAGGCTGCGGTGGATCGATTGGCTAGAGCTTTGACCTGTCCAACATAATAGTGCCGAATACTGGAATTCAAGAAGTTGACCCCTCGTGGTGAAGGCTGAGTAGCATGGCAAGACCTGGATAATGGAAAAAGGGCGTCATCACTCGCATTTCTTGATATTCGCATCCGTCCAGACTAGCGCTATGATAGCAGGGCTTATTGCCAGTGAAAAGGATAGTATATTTTGTTTGCATTCTATCACAGGATGGGCGTCTTATTAACTTTAGCATTGACAATTACGGCCTCGTGCGAGTCAGGTTTAGTTACCTACTCTTGTACCAACGCAGAGTTCCATAGAGGTTAACTTGAAGATTTCTTCGTCATTATATTCAGGACTTGGCTTCCATTCACGTCATTTGGATTTTTTTCTTTCGTGTCCTTGACAATAAATAAAATCGTCTCGACGGGGCTCTCCAAGTGAACGAAAGTGACCTATATGCTGTTATGGCTTCTTGTTTTATTACAATCCGTAATATGAATTTAGAAGAACTCGTTACGGTTCAAGAGAAGACTAGCCTTACATTATACATGGTATTTTCAATGTTAGCTCGCCTCTTACAGGATAGAAAGGGTTACATCGTAGTTTAGCAATACCGGTTTCCGTATTTTTCTAAAAGAAGCAATAGTAATATGAAAACGATACCCGTATATTACCTGGTAGCCCCTATCTGCGCGAAGCCCAAGCAATACCCCCCCCCCCCCCCCCCATGGAAAAACTCGCCGATATATGAACATGTTGGCGACATGTCACTTTGCAGGTCCCCTCGCTGACGACAAGTTCCTATAGACAGATAGACGATCTGGTTACCCAGGCCGTCGGGTCGAAGAAAAGTCGCTAATCTATCTAATCTAATCGAAAATTACCAGAATGAACGTATGCGTACCTGACGTAGATGACCCAACCCTACCTACCTAGGTACCTATATATGACTTCAGTTCATCCTTCGTGAGAACCGCGTATTAACAAGTCGAACCAAGTCCCAGAACCTTTTTTTTTTTTTTGGCTTCTTTCCCCCCATACCGGTTCCCAGGAACTAGGGCCGCGTATGCTATGCTATGCCATGCTATGGAATAGGTTAGGGCCTTATTAGTAGTACCAACGGGGCCCGTCGCGGAACGAAAACATCTCCACTTCGAAACGTGAATTGGCTAGCCAGCCTTGCCCTCATCCATCACCTTAGCTCTAGCGGTTTAGGATAGGAATTATAGGATGTAGTATCCATCTGCACTAAAGATGCGTGGCAAGATTCCGCGAGGCTACTAATGTATGTACAATACTGCTAGCGGCGAAGCGCTTGGCTGATCGTTCGCCCATCGCCCATCGCCCACCCAGTCCCTGGTGTCGAGTTGATTATCCACATTCCATATCCACATTCATTCACATCCCACATTCCCAGCGCGTCGTTTGTAGTACGTTAATCCACAGCTTGGGATTGTGCCTTGTATAGGTCCCGGGCTCCCGGGCCGGGGAATCAAAGCGTTAACGAAGACCGGAGAGCTTTCCGGCTTACACTATTACGTAGTAGGTTACCGACGAGGGCAGAAGAAACATACCCCATACATAGTAGTAACCTAAAATCTCTCCTGTACTTATTTACACTTAGGTAGGTAGGTATTCTTTACAACATCAATGATAATTACAATAATTATATGACAGATCTTGTCGCGGACAGACCCGCGAGGCTCGGTCCGTGAACTCACAACATAACCCTAATGTAAGCAAGAGGTAGGTGACTAATAAATAAATATGTATCTTACATTATGATGCTCATCTCGTAGCCCAAGTAAATTCTAAGGTCACATCAGATCCCCATCCCGTCGCTTAATATCTTAATATCTTAATACCTTCATACTATTAGGTTATAAGACAACAGGTACCTAGGGTATTTGCTTTTTATCAGCGATAATTTTTTTCGGACTTTAGTTATGTAAGTCAGTGCTCTCGAATGTTTTTTATTTCCAATATTTCAAATCGGCCCGTGACGTCGTAGCATTATGTACGGGGAATATAATAAGCTACAACATATAACAGGTACTTAACCTACCCCTAAAGATACCCCCCAATAATGTACCTAGAGAATCAAATGCGATCTCCATTTTCGTATTGTATAATAGGTACTTGCTGCATACCTAGGTAGGTAGTTAACTACGTCGGCTATTCTTATCCTTATCCCTACTTTACATAATGTATAACCACATAATATCGCCTCGAAGGGGAAGTTGACGATAAACACATAACCATCCCCGACCCATTCCTGTCACAGGATTGGACATCCGGATGGCAAGAGAAGAGAAGAGAAAGCGGGGGTAATATCTTGATAGCCAGAACGGGTAAGAAATGCTGGTCTTGGCATTTATATATCACGCGAATGATCAACATCCCATCCATACTTTGCAGACCTTACAGCCGTTTTAAGAAATACTGATCGATTTTGACATCTCCTCGGACTCGGTTTTTTCTTCTTCTTAGTCTTGTTTGGATTTTGTGAGAACTGACGACGGGAATAACAAGAGGCTGGGGGGTCGCGTGCGATGACGTTTCAGATGAGTTTAACCAAATACTAGAGACTTGGCTTGGGGGGAATAAAAAGTAAAAAAAAAATAAAAAAAATAAAAATAAAAAAGGGTTGCGCGGGTGTTTCCGTCACCCGCCTCGTGACGACCTCAAGGAATGTGGTCGATCCAACGTGATTTGAGCGTGGCCGGAACGGCAACGTGGGCAAGAATAAGAATACCTAACCTCCTAGGTACCTCTGGCGCAAGAGGAATCAAATAGTGTAGGTACCTATTGTACAATGCATACCTCTAGGTACGCAGGAAACGAAAAGAGTGGACTGGCGGATCTTAGCAACCGATGTGCATAGCATAGCATAGCATAGTATTGTGCATAAATTGATGAATAACAACTCAACTTGCCTTGCACAAAAAAAAAGGGCCCCAAAAAACCGGCACGTTCAGATTAACATCTCACATCTCACTTTTAAAAACCCAACCAACAGAGACAGAAAAAAGAAAAAAAAACCCAAAAAGGGGGACGGTAAAAAATCCCCGGAGCTAACCTCCCTTAAGGCTCTCGCTACCACAAATAACCATCGTAGGGCGCGAACGCTTACTAGTTCGGATCTTCCGAGAAGTTTCAATCCTAGTCGAAACAGAGAATAGGCCAACCAGGCTACCGGGTCGCCAGCCAAAAAAAAAAAAAAAAAAAAAACAAAAAACAAAAAAAAAGCACTTGGCTGTTCATTCATGTTCATGGCAAAGCATTCCTATGCCCTGGCTGGCATGGTTAGGGGCCCTAGTTCGGCGGGGGTCCACGCTTCCTACGGGTTGCTTTGAACATCGGTAGTCGCGGAGGAGATTCCTATATTCGTCCTTCCGTTTTATCCACCCACTTTTCGACTTCGCCCAGTCCAGTCCCGAGGTCTTTTCCCACAACGGGGGGGTTTCTCCCCTCTCGTAAGTAAAGATAACCCCGGACTAATAGTACCTTGGGTAGATTCCACAGGTCCTACATACATAGGTACTATTTAGTACTACTGGTAGTTGCCGTCGCTGTTTGCCGTTCCCGTTAAGTCGGTATATATAGTTAGCTACATATACCTCTTCTAATTGGCACTCAGATTAGTACCTAGCATGTAATTCGGTCAGCATTTAGTAAATACGGACGAAGATGAAGCTAGCCGGGTTTTCGTTCCCAGCGAGAAAAAAGCTCGCTAAACTCAATCGATGCGACGTGCTGCGCGTAACGCCCGACAATCAATCGGGCGGCGCTTAAATACCAGGTAGGTTAGTAGGTAGCTATGAGGGCTAGCCTTGTCTTTGTTAGCCAAGTGTTCCTGTCCGTCTTGGTCCCCCTTTTCGATTAGTGACCTACCTTACTTAGGTGTAGTTATGTGTACATAGTAGTAGTATTGATAGCATTGATACCTACGTAGGAGGTAGGTCAGTAAGTAATAAGGTAAAGAGGTAGGGTGACATTACATCTGTCCAGGTTTCATTCGCACTAAACCCTTCGAGGTGCTAAGAAAAGCCACCCGCCCCGAGCGGATGGTTTAGGTTGATAACATCTTGCTTTTCGGCGCTTTATACACATGTGTGAACCCAGAGTTGCGAAATGCCCACAAACACCGAGTCTCGTATCGGCGATACCAGACAATTATCTTGGCTGGATGCCGGAGGAGACGAATTAAAGCCGAGAGGGCTTCCTATTGTAATTAAATGTTGTATTGAACTACCTATGTAAGGTATGTTGAAATGTCCTTAAGTGCGGCATTAGTGGATAGGTAGTTTAGTCGGCTACGTTGACCGCAACTTGCTAGGCCGTGCTTCGAGATACCCAACTTATCTGATAGTCTTGACTGCTCACTCGTGTAAGACTTCTAACATGCTTCTTCAGTAGATCATGCCTCAAGGTTGCGTCACCTTGAGCAGAACGTAATTCAGCAGCAGTTGCGGTTGTAGTTGTAACAAACGCCGCATAACCTCCATTATAACTACCTAATGCATAAGGACGCCTTCCATACTTTTCTCATGCGAGTGATCGAGTGAGTATGCGGTGCGACCAGCAATCCAGCAGGAGTTCAAAGTGGTTGGAGTGGAGATAGAGTAAGCTTAACTTGTTAGGTTGAGAGAACATGCAATGTAACGAGAGCTGCGAGTCAGCATTAGGTATAGGTCGAATTGCCCAATCCCAAGACGGTTTTCGTTGCCCATATCCAAAAATGCCGGGCTCAACCGTCCTCAGATCAGATCGGACCAAGACCGACCCAAAAACAAAACTCAATAAGCATGAAAGGGAACGACTTTTTTATATCAACTATATGGTAAACGTATATTTCTCGTCTCAGCGCATAGGAGTGGCGAGATCAACATTAAAAGGTTAATTAGATTGTCATTGCAACTCGGCGGCAAAACTATCAACTTAGTGCCAGTCGCCTTTGTGCGCCCATCTGATTCGCGCACAATAAACGTAGTATTTATCTCCTGAGTACCAATGTCTAGTCAATCTTCGTAAGAATGGGAATTCGGAATATAATTGTAAATATCAACGCGTGCTTAATCTGGTATAATGCGGCTCATATCGTAATTCGTTGCACATAATGCTACCGTCGGTAGGTCCGATATATACACTTAGCCCGAATATAGGGGTGATATAGAAATAGTCCAGTCTTGAGTAACACGCTGTATAGTAAATTCAAGACGGGGGGTAAAGATTCGGTCGGCTCGGGACTCTCGTTCGGTTTCATTTAGGCTGGTGGTATGTTTGAAAGGGTTTTTAACTATCCGCAGTCGACAAGGCCGCCACACGGAGTCGTAGGGTTTCCAAAATATCAGGGTCCGGTTCAGGGTCGACCTTCCTCGGCTTAACTCGCGGACAATTGGCGCACTTCTGGTGAGAACAGTTGCGACACTCGGTTCCATCATCGGCGTTTGGCGGAAACTTCTTCCTGCATTCGTGACAAGCGTACACTCCTTTAAAGTTCTTGCCCGGCTCGTCGTTAGGATATCCATATGGGTACTTGTTCTTGTCGTTCCTGTATAAAGTTAGGAACTGGGGTAGATTATTACGCAAAATAAGACAACTTACGGCTCTCTCGGACAGTCGGCACAACGTTTGTGGCCGCAGTTGTCGCAAATTCTTGCTTGCTTTGCATGACCAGTGATCAGGTGGTTACACTCGTGGCAGTGTCTTCTCACACGCACGCGGGCCTTGCCCTTGTAGACCAGATCCTGCCCTGTCTTCCGAGGACGCTTCAAAACAATCGTCTCCGAATAGTCGTAGCTCGGGACAATAGGAGCGTTCTGCTTGTTCCTTCGGATGGCTGCCTCCCTCTTTTCTCGCAAAGCCTGCTTCTCTTCCTCCGTGCGCAACTTGGCAGGGTGTCGAGTGCATAGTTTACAGCGCTTGTGTTTACAGTTAGGGCACTCATCACCCGCAGCGAACGCGGAATGACACTGATGACATTCCCGGTGAACCCGCATACGGACTGATTTCTCAACTCGGAGGACCTCTCCCTCGGTAGTATGCCACTCGCTTGGTTTTATCTCCAAGCCATACTTGGTACCGAGTTTCTTCGCACGCTCCTCGTGAATCTGTATGCGAGGAATCTTGGTGGCTCCTTCATACTGTGGCTGCGATGGTGCAGCAGGTTGGCTGAAGAATTGTCAATATCTAACATTGTAAAACTAATCATATGTGAGTGTATTGTATATAATAGAAAACTAACCTTAATACCGCGGCTGCAGCTACAGGTGCAGGTTCAGTCGGTGGCGCGCCCTTCTTGGTTCGGGCACTCCATTTAAAAACGGTCTTTACGTTATATAGGACCTTCCGTACTCCCTTTCTCTTCTTCCCCTCTCGTGAAATGGACCCCGCTGTCGCTGGGTTGGCGGCTGTAGGCGAACTCATGATTTCCTTCTCCTTCCAACTACCTGAGATGTCCTTGTTGATTGGGTAACAAGGACTAATATGTGAAAGTTCCAAGTTTGATCAATACTATCCAATCTAAGCCGCGCAATCACCTCTTTGCATCCAAGGTATAGAAGGTAGACCAAGAGGGTGCCGGCCCCTATCGTTTAATAAAGATCGTTCGACGATTGATGATGTGAAGTGAGTAGGCTGTGAGGCGGGACTCGTGATAAACACAGGTAGCCTCGAATCTCTCTATATAAGTTTACCGATACTATGGCTCAAGGAACAAAGCCATAAACCAGAGCCGAGATCCGAGTGGTTCGTCTTCCTGTGCTTACTATCAAGAAAAAAAAAAGACAAGATCCCCACACATTCGATGGCAAGCCGACACGATACGAAGAACGCAGTGGTGGCTGGCTATGAGAGCCACGGATTAATTGAGGTTTGTTGTTGAGACCTGGGGTTGACAAACAGAAGAAGAGTTACGAGGGAAGAAATAAGGAAAGGAAAGCAGGAGTAGAAGAGTCCGGAGAAATGTGCGAATAGCTGGTAGGTTACAAGCCCATCTATCCCGGCGCTAGGTCACCCCCAGGTGAAGAAGCATTTATTTGCAGGTTGGGTTCAAAGTCCAATCGATAATGAAAATCAAGAGAGAGCATGTGGGACGGGTTTGTCCAGGCTGTCCAGGCTGTCCAAGGCAGTTTACCAGGAGTAAGGTTACCAGGTAGCTACCAGGTAGTTACCGGGGAGTTACCAGGAGCAGCATGAACCCAGCCAGACAAGCCAACAGAATGAATTGTCCCCGTACAAGGTGGGTATCGAATTTGCTTGGCAGTTTCCACTGGTTTTTTTTATGCAATGTAGTAGCTTTAGTGGAGCGACACAGGTCTTTTGTGGTCTCTTGTGGTCCAATTACCTCCTAATCGGGTACGCTACAATACCGCGAGTACAATGTAGGTACAGCATGTACCTACAGGGTTGTAGGTCCAACCTGCCATGCGGACATTACATTAAATAAGAAATAGTACTTAGGTACGGATTTGTATACTTATTAACCGCGTGGCTACACGAGCTACACGAGACAAATATATGTTCATGTGCGCCACGATCACCCAAAGGTACCTAGGTAAAAAGGCCATCTTGCAAGTATAAGCGAATGGGAATTAGAAATGGCCTATTGCTTGCTGCCGCTGCCGCTGTTAGGTCATTGAGTTACATAAATGAGTAATCCGCGAGAAGGGGAGGGGGTCATTGCATTATGTCGGCTACCTCTACTAGGTCTGGTATCCCGTCTCGCTTGTAGCCCTAGGTAGTATTCTACTTATGAAAGGTACTTATTGTACACTTGTATACTGCAATACGATACGTTGCCTTTAGGCAATCAAGGACCCCTGGGGTTCTCGATAAGGGTGTTCGGGTTGTCACTTCAACCCTGACTCCAACAGCACGGCTTCTCCAATCACCGCTCAAGCCCCCAACATTTTTATGGGAGGCAGGCGCGGGAAATCATATACACTACATACTATGGTAAGTGCCTTCAACCAGCATGCCGGGTCCCGATACCTTTTGTTATGTACCTACTGCCTTCATGGTACGATAGAGTGTTAGAGATGTATACAGTGTCAAATTAAACGCTCCGCAATTCATTACTGTAACAACGCGTCCACCTTGTTGCTGCTTGCTTTTGCTTTTTATTAGGTACGCTAATGTCTGCGAGGAATTTGCTGGGAATCCAATCATCGATCATAACTGTTCCAGTACCACGAGTCGTCAACGACGGCACGGGAATAGCGATCTGACATGTCTATGACGGCCTATGAGCGAGTCATGTATGGTTTAAGGTGGAAAAGAATAAAAAAAAAAATGAGGTTTAATACAACGTTCCTCTAAAAATTTAGATAATACCTAAGCAGGCAAGGCGTCTATGGTCCCGTCGGTGCATTTAAAGTAATTTATTTAATCAAATTAAGTTTATCCCCGCAGTTGCATCAGACCCGGGAGGATGTTACTTTCACGCGCTACGTATTCACACCGGTAAACGGGGAACCTGATTCCCGAACGGCTGGGCATTGGATATTCTGTAAATGTAGCATGCGTGCCCGCTGCAACTGCACTGCCAACGGTGAATTGCGCTAGGAGGACGTTAGCGGAGAACATGTAGATTAGGTACCTCCTACTTATGAAAGCATGTAAATTATATGATCCTTACCTACCTATACAATACATAACGAATTAAGGTACGACCTTGGTTCATATTTGCACCGCCTTAGGTAGTGTTTATTTGGAAGTAGGTACCTATCAGACTACATAAGGTACAATACCTAGGAACATGGAAACTTAACCTAAGATAGTTTCGTTGGAGTTAGTTAGCACCTACTATAAGATGATGATAGGAGGGTAAGTGCGGGTTATGTGGATTGTGTGGATCATGGATCCAACCAGGTGGGACCTAACGGAAAACAAAATACCAAACTTTCCTTTCGACTCTCTCCACTCTTCTACCACCACAGCATCACAGCATCACAGCACCATACGGATCCCGTAGTACAATTCCAATCTTCTCGACTCACCCGCAAACCCCGAAAAAAGAAAAAAAGAAAAAAACAATCTAGCACCCCTAGCCCAACCAACTACTCAGTCAGCCAGTATTTATTTAACTTCGCGATGTCCTTATCTCAGCTCTTTAATAGTGTCTGCCATCAAACCCGACTCAGACACTTCTGCAGCAATGTCAGTCTCTAGTTAGACATGTGGTCTCTTCATCTTCGAATCAATGCCTCGCGGTCCGACTACTTTAATATGGAGATCCCGTGGGTTCGAAGGTTGAACTTGCCAAACAAAGCCAGCCTCCCCTTTCGCAACCCCTAACCAGCGCATAGTGCCATGTAGAAACCCGCTTGTCAGTCGACAATCCGACAAAATGGGGAACCATTTCCGGGATCCCTCCCCTCTGCTCCATCCTCTAGTAGGATAAAATTAGGTGCCTATTAACCAACGCTTAACATACATCTAGTAACGATTTGGGGTCGTCTCGCTAGAGCGCCATCTCCACGGTATAGTAACGAGGCCTACATATGCCATATGCCTGGCCCCGCACAACTACTATATTCAGCTATGTTGTCATGTTAGACAGATGTTTCCGCGTCTTAGGGGTAGTTGGGAAACCCGTAGTCAGTGATGACACGTTATCGAACAACGTGTCTCCTTACTATCATCGCTACTATCATTGATATTACCAAACGGCCGATATGCCAATCGTTTCACCCCGTAACGTATACAGATTTTTACGATTTACACAACCATCCGAGAGGGGCCACACAATCACAATCAGGATTTCTTTCTCAAGTCTTTTTTTTTCTCCTTCTTTCATGCCTCGCTACCGTCGACGGATATTCCCCCTCATTACCGCTGCATTTTGGAAGGGAAGGTAATAATAAATCGGTAGCTCTGCAGCGTTGTGCCCCGCTTGCCATGTAACCCTACTTGGAGATTCTTCGATTCTTATTGACATATATGTTAGGTACTTACCTAGGTACGTAGCTGGGATGTATTTGCTAAGAAGCATCGAGGTCGTCCGTCCGTCCTATAGTGCTGTGGAAGAATAGCTGGGGAGACCCCATCTTCAACGTTAGGTACGCCGTCAATCTATCTCGAACTCTTAACTATTATTCACCAGGACTCATTATTTACGTTAGCGGTCTCACTCTTTCGTTTAACCATGTTCATATATTAAATGGGCTTCACTAAAACTTACTCCGAGAGACTTAACCCCCCATACGAGCCGTTGCGGGTAGATTGATGGTTAGAATGGAACATGAGGTACCAGCCGACAAGCCATGATTTACGGTTTGCATGACTTCTCGTCCAAGACATATCACCCCATCTGTTTTAGTGGCAAACCCATCTACATAGTACGCTTTTTCCCAAGTTCCAACAAATTGGATTCTCGGGCCGTTGGTTGGTATGGAGCCACTCGTACTTTGGCATTCCCAATGCACTGGAACGCACCATCCCGGCTGGTCGTGAAACCACACCGTACTACCTGCATAATGCACATATGCGGCTTTGGGGATACCTACCTTGGGGATTCAGCCACTGGACCATCGTACGTATGTGTTATGAAATACTTTTTTTTTTTTTTTTCTCATTCTCGCGTCAGTCCCGGCTGTTTGGCGCAGCAACGCCGCAGGCTCGCATTCAACTTCTCTTCTTCCCGCATCCTTTTCTTGAGGAAGACCCAACCGTCCGGTACAGCTTTGATCTTAATGGACAATATTTTCTTCACCGCTCTCATCCTGCGAGGTACCTAGGTCACCTCAAGTTGCGTTAGACTTACCTAAGTTACCGACTAGCAAGGGATACTATCGGAATACAGAATCCTTTCTTCCGTAGAGTTGAGTTGTCAACTTCTGTATGTGTGCGTGTAGGTCCAACTCTGTGACCAGGAGTCTATCACTACGCATGATCCAGATTGAATCGAAACCCGAGCTGCAGTATAGAGAGATACAATCGACACACTATTGGAATCAGTGTGTAGTAATATCTATAGGCGTGCCCATAGGCCGAGGCAATGACGTGCAGATGAGCATAGGTAGTCAGATCGGATGTATCCCGGAACGCCGAATGACCTAGGTTGCCAAGATACTCATCCGCTGCAACTTGTTAATTTTTTTCTCTTTTCTAGACTCCAGTCGAGTTGAGATGCTCCAAACGCTATCCGTCGAGGGACGAGTATTTGGATGCAGCAGAATCGTACCACTCTCAAACTGCCTTACTACGTCACACTCTTTACCCGCTGTCACATTGAGGGATAATACTCCGAATCCAGCTCAGAGACACACCTGAGTTTTATAGGTCGGCTGATACTCTGCATGATTATTATGGCTGTCACTTTTACCAAATTTGCCTGGCTGATTTTCGAGGCGCCTCGTCAGATCATCAAATGATCAAGCCCCAAAGAAGGTTCTCATATCTGAAGTTCCATCTATCAGCGCCAGGAGACTAGCATGTTCCGGTATCAGATTGATAGAAACTGCACTGGGCTGTTGCATGAAGCCATGAGCCAGCCCAAGCGATGTTATCCAGAGTATGATATATCCATGTTGCACCGCATACCGAGCAATATCATCTTAAAATGTCTTCCTTAGCCCACACCGAAATGGCGCAAGACGCCCAGTTAGTGTGAACTACATACTGGTCTCGAGGTGGCTTAGATAAGAGAAATTACTACCGTTGTAGGGGATGCGCTTATGCGTCCGAAGTCCACTCGACTATTCGACGACCTGCAGCAAATCGCTTTTGAAATTTTTTTTTCCTTCCAGGATCATTGTCAACTGCGCCCCTATCCTTCTTATGTGATCTACGGTATGCTTCCAGTTATCCAGTGCCGGAGTCATTCTTCCTTAATGTTAGGTTTACCCCTTTGAAACCACTAAGTATTCCGGTGCATCTTGCTGGGAAGAAAAAAAAATATGAACGAGCCGACGTATTAGGGGTAATTATCACTGTGCCCAACCAATATGCCTAATCCTGTTCATAGATCCAGGACGTCCAGCCGTCCATCCATCACTTAATGTCCTTCATCCCGATCGACATATATTTACGACGGACTGCGCGATCTAGGTCGATATAGTATGAGGGCTGTTAACAATAGTGTGCTTAGATCTGCCGACGATATTAGATTCGCAGGGCTCCTTTATTTCCAGATGCATACTTCGGCATAGCGGTTCTCCCTTTGGAAGTTTGTGCTCTGATTAGCCGGTAGTCTATCAGCGTCCAGCGCGGCCTGCCTTGCCTCGCATGGATGTTCCGAATGACGCTTTGGCTTCAACATCACAGCTCTCGCAAATAGGGGTTTAGTTTGGCATGCAGATTCTTTCGTACGCTCCTATGCGAACGGGGGCGGGAATGCAGATAGCCTATCCATCTAGAAAGAGAAATGGGGTCTAGGCTTCGTGTTTGTTCGATTATTGACACGCTTGGCCTCGTCTTCTGTCGGGTATAACATGGGATTCGTAAATGAAGTGATGTCTTGGACTGAGTCTATGAAAGCTCTGAGGTATCATCCCCGCCTACCTCCCGATGTCTCACAGACTCGGCAGGGAAATAAACGCCCAAGTGCACCGAACCACCCGGGTCGTAACGTGTAACAGTGCGGTGGGAAGATGTCACTTGATTCCTATGAACGTTTGCCTAGATTAGGCGAGGTTTCATAAGGATAGCGCAGAGCATCCCCATCGTTTGATCATACCCAATAAGGATATCTTGTCTTGTATGCTTCGTTAGAAAGATCATACGTACTACCCTCCTTTCGCGCTGCGATGAGAACTGATAGATCCTTTTCAGAGGTAGGAATATCCTTGTATCCCGTAAATCATACTTGATTCTACCTAGATGCAGCGAGATGTAACTTATCTCGATATCCCATTAAAAATAAATGATAGAGAATCTAGACCATATCCGTCGTATTGATAAGCCTTGTATAGACCGGACTCAAACCGGACTCGGGGGGCCCCACGGCGGGACGAGATCAATGGCGGCATCGCATCGCTTTTAAGCGGAGTGCGGATGCGGAGTAGGTAGGTACCTACCTGGTAAGTTACCGCTTTGTCGAATGATTTCGTAATATTAACCAATACATTTTCCTGTGGAGGGAATCGAGACGAAGACATAAAACTACTAACGTACGAATTACGCCGAAAACGGATCCAATATATCGTATCCTTCAGGGCTATCATATGTTTACCAAGGAATTTGACGTTAGCCTGTTAGTAATAAATTGATACATGCGATAACATCATAGCACTAGTGGTAAGAGGGCCTATCCGTCCCGAGGCCGGTATTCAATCGCTCATCGGCACACATCTACACTACACGGCGCCTTGATCACACCCCAGATCATGGTACAAGTCAACTAAGTGGACCATCTAGACCTTCTATATCGTAGTATCAGCTATAGATATTTTCACTGCTAAGATGCCAAATATTGTCGTCGTCGGGTAAGTTCCGGATCAGCTGTCTGTTGTCGGGAGTTGAGAGTTCCGCTAATACGTCCGGGTCGCAGCGCGGGCGTGTCAGGTCTCACGACAGCCTATCTGCTGTCGAAGCAGAAAGGGAATGCCGTCACGGTCGTAGCGAAGCATATGCCGGGCGACTATGACATCGAGTATGCGTCGCCATGGGCTGGCGCGAACGTTTTGCCGTAAGGGGATCTCATGTCTACCTAGCACAACCTAACCTAACCTAACCTATATACGCCTGTCGACGTTTTAGAGCTGACTCTGGAGCGTAGTATGGCAACCGAGAAGCATAGCTCGTGGGAACGTCGCACGTGGCCGGAAATCAAGAGGCTCGCTACCGAGGTACCCGAGGCCGGAATACACCTCCTAAGTGAGTAGCAAACCCCCAGCACAGCACAGCACAGTACTACGAGGGTTCCATCAGACAGATAATCTAAGTGAATAAGCGTAGAGTCGCGCGTGTACCGCCGCGAGAAGGACATCGAGAAGCTGAGGAAGGGGGGCTACAAATTCGACGGGCTCTTCGCGGAGAACCCTTGGTACAAGACGCTGTTCGAGGACTTCCGAGAGCTCCCCAGGGACGAGCTTCCGCCGGGCATGGCGTCGGGCTGCGAGTTCGGGTCCGCGTGCATCAACGTCATGGTGTACTTACCCTGGCTCCTGGGCCGGTGCCGAGCGAACGGCGTGGTGTTCCGCCGCGCGACGCTGCAGCACATCTCGGAGGCGGCGGCGCTGCAGCTCGGCCACCGCGACGCGGGCGGGCGAGCCGACGGCGTGGTGGTGGTCAACGCGACGGGGCTGAGCGCGTCGAAGCTCGGCGGGGTGCTGGACGCGAAGCTGGTGCCGGTGCGCGGGCAGGTGGTGGTGGTGCAGAACGAGGCGCCGTACATGGCGACCACTTCGGGGACGGACGACGCCGACGACGAGCTCTGCTACATCATGACGCGGGCGGCGGGCGGCGGGACGGTCCTCGGCGGCACGTACCAGAAGGGCAGCTGGGAGAGCCAGGCGGACCCGAACGTGGCGACGAGGATCATGCGGCGGGCCGTGGAGACGATGCCGGAGCTTACGGGCGGCAAGGGGGTCGAGGCGCTGGACATCATCCGCCACGGGGTCGGTCTCCGGCCGTACAGGGAGGGGGGCGTGAGGATCGAGAAGGAGAAGATCGGCGATACGTGGGTTGTGCATAACTACGGGCACGCGGGTTGGGGATACCAGGGGTCGTACGGCTGCGCGGAAGATGCTGTGGCACTTGTGAATGAGGTTCTTAGCCGCTCTCGACTGTAGATAGGTATGTATATTAAGTAGGTATTAAGCTACTTGGTTGAATTTGCTTGAGGGTCGTAGGGAAAGGAGGCATTGGGTGACTTTATCCAGCTTTATCTCTTTTTCTTTTTACTTCCCTCCTTATTATCAATGGCTAAGAAGAATAAAGAATAAAGTACCTACATTCTTAGGTAAATTTGAACATAGGTACGGTCGTTACAGCTCTATTTAGCTAAAGTGATTATACCGAATAAAAGCATTATATTATACACCTAATATTCTTACCTAAGGTACCTACCATAGCGGCAAAGGGGGTATTTGTAGAATGGTTGGGTGGGGTAGAATTTTTAATGGCTTTAGCGCCTTTAATTAGCTGAAATTTAAAATTGTGGAGGGGTATATCCTCTTTGTATCTTTTTTAAAAAATGGCCTATTCTAAAGGCTTTAAACCATTCTATATCTATATCATGGTACCGTTGAAATTTTGTAAAACATTCTCCGTATATTTCAATTATTTTACCGCATAAGACTTAATAAATGCAATCCTCCACCCACGGTTAGTTCAACTTTTGCATTACACTTTTAGTACCCGTGTCGATGTCGGGCCTTTTGAAACCGGAAGCCCAGACCCGCCGTTAAATACGTTTTTGACAGGATATATATAACTACCTACTTAATATAAAGTTTACTATATGCACACAATACGATTATATGTATCCTATACTAAGCAGTATAACTCTAAACATTGTTAAGGAAGAGCCTAAAATCCCGGACTCGCTACTAGTAACTAGAAAACAAGACGTTAAACAAAGAGAGGACAATAGTGCGTTAACATATGCCCCAATTCATTGCTCGATTATTATGGGGCTCCACGACCCTCTTTAAAGGCGAGCCCAGGCTACCCCGGAGGTATTCGATACTGAGCCAACTTCAAGCCATATCAAATCAGACAGGCGGAGAGCGAGCTTACCCCTTCCATGGGACACTACGGGAGAGGAATGAATCAGTAGTGGTCAGTAGCCTTGACGCTACATTAGCTATAGTTGGGTGCTTAAAGTGCTCAAACGGCTCATCAGCAGCAACAATGAGACAGTGCGCCTTCGCTATCTAGAGCACTTGGCCGATCACCACCCTTCGGATTCGCGTCTTTGCCTCATTTCCACCCCTCGGTATCGCGCCTGCAAGTAGTCATTGAATGACACGTAGTTGAAGTCATCTGTAACATCCCTGAGGCGGTCATCACCATCGTCTTCCGAAGGTGGTCGGCGCTCCCATTTGTCGCGATATATCCCCTTTTCCAGGATTGGTTCCTCGGGGTCAACACGTTGGCGGTTTTCCAGGCTTCCGTGAATAGGAAGAGGGCATGTCGGCGGTGGTGTTACTTCGGAGAGTAAAAACTGCATTAGCTGCTGTTTTTGGCTATCCAGTAGGCGATAGATGCGATAAGTAACGTCACTGCTGTCGGAATGGAAGTATATTGCGTCGGGCTACTTGAAAAGTCAGTTTTCCGGTTTCCATTTCACCTTGCATAGAAACGAGCGAAGCTGTGGACTTATGGTCGCTTACATCGACGTCTTGCGCGGACTCTGGCGTGCGTCGGTCGAAGAGGACAACACCGCCCAGGATGCGTGACTCGGCCCAATATCCCACTCCATCTGCGATACCCTCGGGATACTGGTCGTAATCCCGATACCAGTGGTGGAGGAACAAAGTTGGGGGGAAACCTTTCGGATAAAGATATTCGATGTCTTTGCCGGGCCGCCATGAGAGCAGAGGATCGCTTTCAGGACGCATAGGCCCTTGTTTAAATAACCAGACGGCTATTTGATGAACTGACCTAGCAATTATCTCAATCAAGCGTGTTTGGAAGGCTCTAGAGCCAGGGCTGGCTGCTTGAAAAGCAAAGAAAAGCTACAAATTGAATATCGTCAGCGAAATATAGACCTCTTAAGCGTAACACGCTCCTGGTCTTTGAAATGAAATGAAAAATAGAAGAGCAAAACAACTAGCCAATAACATACTACAGAGTCTATCTTGAGCATTTTGGGGTCAAAAGTTGAGTAGAGCTGGTCAACTCTGTTCAGCACATCTGTAGACAGCTCAAGATGCTGATCGAGAAGGGGATGTCTACGGCCAACGACGCCATAATAGCTGTCAGCCGCAACATCCGCAAGGGGAAGGCCGTCGACAATTTGGCCGTAAGTGGTTCTTGCGATGGTGGTTGAAAGCACATTGGCGATAGCGCGCGAGCATATTTCGTGGTGTCGACCTTGTAAGCTCGCAATCGACCGTTTTGGAGACTCGGCGTCAACGTCTTCAGTCTGTAGGTCCTTATTTCCCATGGTGTTCGTGTGATTCATGATAATGATGATGATGATGTCCGGATCAAGTGAGCTGAGGTGCGGCTGGCGACCGAAGTGTGGATGTGTAGAGCAATTTGGTATAAATTATGAGAGGGGATGTTTCGAAAGCAGAGTCGATTTTTTGTTGGAAATACTAGCCGAATTTACTCGATATGGTAGGCACGGATCGATCAGGTATTTGGGGAGCATATCATTAGTTAGGCTTAAGTCATTGTCGAGATAGAATCTAATAACTAGCGATATTCTCATTTCTCTGAAATATCTGACCCATCCAAACTATTTATCGTGAAGGGAGGAGAGTGCGGCATGAAGCCTGCGGTTACGTATGTACAAAGCTGGAAAGCGGTCAGTATAATTAGCTGGAGTTCAAGACTCACATAATTTCCGTCTTCACAGAGCCACCGGTGCTGCTACAGCCTTCCCTGAAGCTTGGTGTGATCATAATGCAATACTATATGATGGTTTGGCAACTACAAACTGAGCAATCATACGGTTTTAAAGCTTAGATATTGACCTCAGCCCTGCTAGGGGTGGTCTCCCCATCGTGCGATAATAGTGAAGAAAAAAGTGGAAAAATAGAAGTTGTGCCTACTTAGAAAATAACTGCACGCCTAGTAAAAAGTATTTATCTTTTTGGCTACCTAGGTAGCTATCCTTAGGCAAAGTAGAAGGGAAGTCCAGACCTAAGCCATTTTTTCTCTATTAATACAATCCAGGTATAAATTCAAGCAAAACTGATTGTTCATGTGTAGTTCTAGATGACGACGGGGTGGTACCTCCCGGCTACTTGACTTCGACTGCGTCACGCGCGGCATTGCGCGTCTTTGCGTTTCTGAGCTTGATATGCGGTAATTTTGTTATTAGCTGTGGTAAGATGAATCATACCGGATAGAAATGAAAAGAAATAGAGAGGATGAGAAATAGGATTGAGAGGCAGGAGTAAGCTGTAATTGTTATGAAAGCGCTATCAAGGTACCTATAAGCATAAGCTAGACCGCCGAACAATACCCGGCTGGTAGCACCTATCCACCAGTCATCATCAACCAGCTACCTACAAGCTCCCATCTAGATAGGTACAATACAATATCTGTTCTGTCCACTTTACATAATCGCACCCGCGCGTGTCTCGAGAAGAAGCGAAGCTTAGCTTCATCGCAAGCTTTGCGATTCGCAATAACCCAAATTCCTCGAAGCCAAGTACACACGCTGTCTCGGGGGGGGGGGGGGGGGGGGGGGGGGGGGGGGGGGGGGGGGGGGGGAGGGGAGGGGC